AAACACTAAGCCATTTTGGCATGATATGGAAGTACCATGGAAAATGTGCTCGTCTAATCTAAGAGATGCTGTTAGTGTACGTCTTTACTTAACTCTTAAATGTCGTTTTTTATCAGATTACATATTGGGTACTCTAAAGAAGGTCCGATCCATTTTTCTCCTTCTTTGAAAATGCTATTCAAAGTGTAACCTCATAGTGTTGGGATCAAACATTTTGCATTTTCTTTTGGTTTGGAATAAACATTCTACAACTGCATACTTGTGTACAAATTTGAAAAGTCGGACTCGCAAGTTAAGTACTTCCAACCGTCGAGGCTAGTTTCCATTCCAGCGCCCTCTCATAAACTCTTAACATAGTAACGCGACGACAATTCAATGGCCATTTAAACGGAAACACTCTGTTCTTGTTTCTGATAAAGTCGCGTAGTTCAAGCCCCAGTGAGCTAACAGAAGAATTTAAGGATGGAATTTTCTTTTTCCAGCCTGTGCTTCTAGCCAGAAGAGACGCGCGCAAAAATATGAGAAATTCACGCGTTATGTTTAAATATTCCACCACAGCTGTCATTCCAGATTCTAGAATATCCGGATTTCCCGTGTCTTTTATTGCTCTAGAGATTAGCTTATCCATTCCCGAAAGCTCTGGCAACACAAACACGATTTCCGGCATGTAATCACGGACCCAGTTATTTGTCTCAGTGATTAACACAGACTGAGGATTGTCTTTGTTTAGGAAGCCCTTCATCTTTGTTAGTAAGACGGAAAGGGGGCAATAATCCCACAAGTTAGAAGTGGTGATACGATCATAGCTGAGACCGGAAGGTAGGCAGGCTTCGATATTCAATGCATCACCGAGTATGAAATGGAATTTGATACGATTTCTTTTCATTCTTTCGTCACGGACTTGCGCAGAATTTCTGAAAGGTAGATGGTGTACATTTCTGGTAGAGAATCAGCGTGGCAGAATTTCTTTACCGCCTTGTAGTCCCATCCGGTAAAAGGGAAAATATTCATAGGTGTGCTGTAGTAAAAGTCAGCCGTATTTAACGGCCTATGAAATCCATGACCCGTTAAGGTGGGGTTTTGCTTGTTAAGTCCCATAGAAGTTTCTCTCGTTGCGAAAATCCCATTGTCAAAAAATTGTCGAGCAGACACTCTGTGCTCTACAGGTATGGCGTGCAAGTAGGTCTCGAGGCCGTCTTCTCTCTCCAAATCACAAGCGATCGCTGTTTGTCGCAATGTCGCCACCCAAGGCCCCTTGCGCGTAGATGACTTCAGCCACGTGCTCCAAACGTCTTTTAACTGGCTCAGTTCATCGGTAGACATCATTTCAAATACGTCTTCTGTAACTGTGCTCAGGTTAGCAGACGTTACAAGCTCTTGAAGTGCTGACATCAGCAAAGAAGAGTCTTGTTCGGAAATATTCAGAGAATACCAAATACGAAGTACAGAACTGAGTACACCATCCCCTCCTGAAGCAAATGAAATAGAGTGTTAGTGCATCGGAGATGTACGCAATTAGTCCCGCTCAAATCTGCTCTTTTTCAAGCTTTAATTTCTTCTACATTTACTTTTGAGGATCTTTTCGTTCCTTATCATCCATGCACTTGTTTAGTAACAAAAAGTTGCTACGGCTCTATTTCGCGCTAAGATAATGAGTGCATCTTTCTTCCGTGATCAGCTTTCGGGTCATATTTTATTCTTTTCCCAAAAATAAGCGAAATAAATCGAAGTTACTCGAGGATGATAATTGTAGCATGGATCTTCACAGTTATACCGCCGCTATGCAATTATGGAAAAAAAAAAAAAAGGCTTTAAACCATTAAAGCTTCGATGAGGCTTCTTGGACGTCATGCACCTATTGTAGGAGTAAAGCAAATGCCAGAAGGCTCTTCGTTACCATCACAAATAATTTAAAAAATGTGAAATCTTACATATTTGGCATTTGGGTATTCAACTGGAGCATTCGGCTAGTTCAGGCATTACATGTAGATTTCTTATAATTTGATCTCCGTAGCAAGCAATGAGAAGACTAGGCAATGACACTAATCGGTGACCTTTCAACAACTAGGGAGGAAGTAATCTTTGGAGTCATTCTACCCTCTTGGTAAGTAACGACCACAATGATGTAAAGCTGAAAACTTTCCCAGTATTGTTCACAAAAGCCTTGCAGCGTAAGAGTGAGGATTTTTTCTCTTGGCTTCTGAATCTATTCTATTCAATTGATCATAACGATGTCAGTTTTTCTGACTCCGCCAGAAATCACCGGGAATCATGACGAAGGTTATCGATGTAGGAAATCACAAAAATGAAAAAACGACCAATTTGAAGAAACATGATTAACAAACAATAATCCTGACTGATTCAACCCTATACAGGACTCTGCACGTCCCCATATTTTTTTTCGGAACTGTGAAACTGAGAAGAAGCAGTCACACTGTCAATCAATTTAACGGTATTTTAGTTATATCAATTTACCTTTGTGTAGCATGTAAAGCAATAAGACTGTTCTAGCCAGAGTACAGGGGCATACGTCGTTTAACACGAACGTCACTTGTTGTTGGTAAGCATCAGGTAAAGACGAAATGGTCAGCAGAACATTTCTGGGATCCCCGACTCCACATAGTAACAGTGCGAGTGGGTCGGAGTATTCTTCTCCCTCGTTCATCGATAAATTGATCAGGTCCACAGCCGGCACATTTCCCCAATAATACGTGGCTGATACCAAGGATTTTCCAACTCGTTGACTAAGGAGCTCTACTGTTTTGATTTTATTTGCTAGTTCAACAATTTTCTCCCTAGTTTCTTGACACGAAGGCATGTGCTGTTGCCAATGGTTTCGTTGGCATTCGACGTTACAATAAGAAGCTTTCATGCAACTGGTGCACTTCATCATTCGCTCCTGCTCACGACCGCAAGAGAAACATTCCGTTGTCAGCATTGCGTCGTTGCAATCGGGTTCATGTCGCCACTTATCTTGTTTCTGACATTCCTTTGAGCAGTAGAAGGCAACTCTACAACGTGAACATTGGTGATTGCAGCGAGCTTCGCATCGCCAGCAGTGACGATCTTTGTTCATAACTGAAATCCAGTGTCGTAAGAATTGCTAAACGATAACGTCTCTGGCTTCCAAGATATGCAGACCACAAAATGTTACGCACATCTTGATTCCATGCACGGTAGATGTTTCCTGAGCCAGTACCTCTAGACAGTTCCTCCATTTACAAATACGCCACGAAACAATTGTGAAAATAATGTACTCAGTTTCTTTGCAGCTAGATGGAAGCTATTGGCTAATATTTTCAGCTTAATACATCCTGTTTTTCCTAGAATTTGATAATGTATGCAGAGACTTCATGGTTTTGTGTTTCAAATATCTCATTTCGGGTTTTAATTCAATTTTTTCACTTTCCATCTTTAAGTCACACAATCGAAAGAAGGCAACCACAAGAATAAACTTCAAAAACATGGTTATCCATGAGGTTTACAAGACGAGTTTCGAACACTTTCCTGGTAAACAAAACAATCACTATTTCGAAAAACCCAAGTCAAAAAACACTTTTCATAAACTTTTTTTTATTAATTTTTTTTTTATTCAATGACGAATTTAAAATTACTAAGCAGCATTTAAAGGCCACACATTGCACATCATTAAAAGAAACTATTTTTATTTCTTCTTTTTCTCCTCTTTTTTCGACTTCTTCAGAGACTTTGTGGCCTTGATGGCACTATCAATGAATTCTAACTCAGCAAGTTTGTCTGTTTCGTTAGAAGAGCGGTTCTTTTTCTTTTTCTCGGTCTGCATGTTTTTGTTTGCATACTGATCCTTTTTCGGTTTCTTTTCGAACGCGGCATCAACCGACCCTTTTGCGTCATCAGCATCATCTTCCTATGAGCAACAAAGCAAAAAGAAATATCAGTACATGGTCTTCGTCAGTACATACGGATCAACTTACCCTGCGCACCCACCCTTCCCTGACCCAAACACAGTCACCTAAGTTGGAGTTAATGTTAGTTTAAGGGGAAGGGTGGGTGTGTGCGATCGGACACTTATATTGCTCCGTACTTTCTTAAAAAGCACAAAAAGTAAGTTTCTCGTCAAAGAACACGATGTTAGCGATTCAATACCGACCACTCAACATTGGGTCCAACGCCACTTAAACACTTTGGTTGTCACCTATCTATATTTCCTGGAATACAAATAATTCTGAAGTTGAAAAATACTTGTCCTGTTAGTACACACCTCCTCCGAATCAACAGCATTTTCTCCACTTGCTGTGAAACCCAATGCCGCCATTTCTCGGCCGAAATTTTTAGACTTGCCATCTTCCACCAATTTCACTTTCTTGGTATGCTTAATATCTTGTCTCTCCTCTAAAATCTCTTCCAAAAATTTTCTCTTCTTGACTGCCTTTTGCTCCTTCTCGAACCAGGTTTTGTCTTTCCTTTTCAGGTGCTCTACGCCACAATTTCTGAGCACAATTCTGCCATAGAAATTACCGTTGAGTTGTTGTTCACTGAAAAGCAGTTCTTGGGTAATGGCTTCCTTATATCTCACCTCCGCTTGTCTCCAACATGTTTCAACAACATGGCTACCCTGTTTTTCACAAGCGAGCCTAACAAAGGTCCCCTAAAACATAGAAACGAGATTGGTCTTCGATTCTTCACTGGGTACCAATAGTTGAATTGACAGAATTTATTCAACCCTTTTACGCCCTAATATCAATGAGCATATTCTCCATACAGTTCTCTACAGATATCCAAAGGTGCTGACAAGGACAATTTGTTTACCAATCAGAAAATACTTTAGTGGGTGATCATTTCCTTTCTTCTCGTGACCTTAACGTTGGATTCAGGGGAAATTGATGCTAATCGCTCTCAGGATTCAAAGGGTAAAGAGTGATGTACATGTACCTTGCCCCTCCTGGGTCTGAAATTTTAAGAATCAGCCAATGCATGTCAGATGACTAGAGGAGCTGGTGATAAACAATCACATTCGAGAATTCTGTCACAGAGTAACAAAGAGAAATATAGCAAACATGTAAATATTACCTTTAACTTCTCAATGAGAACATGTTTCTTCTCTGATGGCACAAATCTGCTCTTTAAGAAAGCTTCCAATGCATAAGAACCCATTGAGTCTGTGGCAAGGGTCATTAATTCCTCCATGGAAAGACAAAGCAGGCTTGTTACCACCTTGCTTGGGTCTTGAAAATCAAATAATGTCTTCAGTAACAAAGCTCCATGAAAGTTAATAGATTTTAGCTTTGCTCCAGGGGGAGATTCTTCCTATGGATTTTAAAGAGAAAATAGGACAAATAATTATATTGTTGTTCATGCACAGAAATTAATTTGCAAAGATTATCATCTTCCTGGCCACAATTCCAGAAAAATCAATTGCAGGGGTTTCATTAGTGTTTTCAGCAGGAGGGGAACTGGTTTTCACAGGCGGACAAAACTTGGTGAATGGAACTTCTTTCTAAGTTAAAGTTTCTGCCAGATTGTCAAACCAAGTGGGTAAAACCGTCCTAACAACCAGTCAATTTGCCTGGTGCCCAGGACCTTAGTGAAACCCCTGCAAATGACCAACCCCCTTGAACCAACACCCATTCTTCAGATAAGCACCCCCTTTATAAATTTTAACCTTTGAATTTCCATAATTGACCAAGACAGAATTTCTCCTTACAATATCAATAAAATATCAAGCAGACAAGTGATGAGAATAAAGAAAAATATCAGTTAGGGGATTATTAGTTGATCCAATACCAAATTCTCCAAACTAACATCATAAGAATTGTCTGGCCGACAGTAAGGAGAATTACTAATGGGATCTTGGCGGTGAAAAAAGTTAACTGAAAAAAGGGATCCCGGTGCAAAATCAAAGAGCTATGATAGCTATTGTTTGTGTGGTAGACTGGTGGCTGATGGTGATGATAATAAAAATAGATAATAAGAATAATTCTAGTAATAATAATAATAATAATAAAAATAATAACAATGGATTTCTATAGACCCATATCCACTAACTCATGGTGCCTTGCAAAAATTTGCAAGGGACTTTGGTTTGACTGCACTGAGCAGTTTGCAGTTTTAAAGGAAAGTTTTGCAAATGCCTCAAGTTTTGGAACCAACAACAACACCAGGAGCTACATTCCCCTACTCTCTGCTAGAAGTACGTGGGTTTTTTAAGTCCCCTACAAACCTGTACAAAGAACATGCATGAGACTGAATATATGGTTTATCATCCTTATCCAAGAAGACTAGAAAGTCTAACCATTTTCAGATGTCATAGCAGAGGCAGCACATTCTACTTAGTTATTTTAAGACCCAGAGTGTTGGTCCGGTCTGGGGCTTAAACTCTCAATCTCTGCCACAGCAGTCTGGCACTCTGCAACCTGAGCTAACCAGGTAGGTATGACCCCAAAAGCCCCAATTTACTCACTGCAATAGTAATGACACCTTCTTCAATTTCTCCTCTTTCATCTGGCTTTGTTCCATAGAAAATGTCATAAGTTGTTAATGACAAGAACAAAAGAACAGCACTGGATTGTTCATCCTTTCCTTCACAGTGAAATGCTTGCAGCAATGCTTTTAACATTGTTTTTTGCTTGATCAAAAACTGCACAGCAACTTCAGCCATTCTGACTACAATGCCCATGTGCTCATTAGCAAGAAGATCTTCCAGATATGGTAGCAGCTCAGCTAATATTTGTTTAGCCTAAATCAAAGAAAAGTCAACTTATGATCCAGGGACATTGAATGACTGTGACAAATAACTTCTACTTGAATATCACTGCTCACAATTAAAACTAAAAAGATTGTAACCAATCATAGGACAAAATAAGAATGTGCTTGAACAAACGTGATCCACAATTGAAGAGTCCACCCTGAAATGACCCATTTAACCTGTAAGAGTGATAAACATCTAATTTTTCTCAACAGCATTACCCCTGAATCACACATAAAGGTCATGAATAAAGGAAATGATCACAAACTCAAGGAACTTTTGACTGATAGACAAATTCTCCAAGTAAGAACCATAGAGAATGTATGGATAACAATTGGAGAACTTGCATACTGATGTAAAGGGTGAAGCCAACATCGGAAAAGGCGTTTTGCGATTCCCAAATGTAGGACCGAGCGTTTCAAAAATAGTTTTTTAGTAAGATCATGTATTAACAATGAATTTTAGTGCTCAGTGAGTTTTGTAAATGAGATCGATGCCCTGGTATATGTTTTAACAGTTCAAGCTTTCATCATATTTATAGGATATTATTTTTTATTTAGGACTTTAATACTATCATATTACTATAATTATAAGTTATATTTTATACTTTATCGTAAATACACAATTCAGCTCAGTGGCTGCAAGCTTTTTACAAATAAACTATCTATCTATCTATCTATCCATCCATCAGATACAGTACTGCAAGTGTCTACTAAATAAAGATTATTAAATAAAATTAAATATTATTAAATATTAAAATTAATATTAAATATTAAATATTAATATTAAATATTATTAAATATTATTAAATTATTATTATTAAATAAAGATTTCACTGTATGACATCATTACAACAATGAACGAAAGTAAAACATTCAGTAACTGCAAAAAAATCTAACCTGAGCTTTATCTGTAGTGCTTGCCATCAGATGTTGTACGATAAAATTAGCAATAGGATGGCAGGACAACTGAACCAAGTGAGTGTTGAAGTACGAATCATAAATCTCTCGCCAAAGCTCAGGTGTAACAACATGTAAAATCTTTTCAACCAAATGACTGCTGATTTCATTTGAAAGCAGAACAGGTACCCTGTAACTCCTGAAAATGAAAGAAATAGGCAGCAAATAGAAATCAAATTAGCTCTATACATCAGTAGAGTGTGCATGTATGTAAATGATGTCATAAGTAACATGTCATTTTTCCATTAAAACCTTCTTTGCACACTCTGAAATTGTTCTGAACCTGAAGTCCATTTTGTTGCCGAATATCTTCACAAACAAAACATAATTTCACTAAATTTCCTCAATAATTTACTATGCACAAAATTAAGAAGAAAAACATAAGTTATAACAAAACATGTCAAGCCATCAACTTTTTCAAAACTTGGTGGTTCTGAAAAGAACCAGGTTGAGTGTGAAAAGAGCTCTTCTCTTTTTATTCTACCATTCAATCATTGCCTTCTCTAGCCGTCTCAAGCATAATGTTGATTTCGTCACACTGATATGTGTGATTTTTAGCTTTTGTTCTTTATGCAGACATGGATTGTTATAGAGGCCAACACCCACCTTTCTTGCTCTTTTGAGGCCTGTTCATGGTCACCTTCCTTTGATTCTCTTGGTCCTTTGATTCTTCCTTTCTTACTGTTGTACATGTCAATTTGAGACATAACTGCCTTGCATAACTTCATACACAATGACTGGTCCTTCCTGTGTAGAACCAATAGCAATGTCTGCAGAAGGGGATTACTTACTGGGTGAAGAGCCAGTTTTTGCAGTTCCATTTCAATTATCATGTTAGTGAGTTGTCTGAGAATGGGTGGAAAGCTATCTGGAACTGCAACTGTCTCCATATGCTTAATAGGATCTGTTCCAAAGGCATTTCCCACTGTATGATAGAGAGCAAAGTACAAGAGAGATCATGCAGGTAAAAAAAACAATTGTAATGTACTGTGCAATCCAACCAAAACCCATAACTGTTTCTACTTTTCCTTACACTAAATACAGTTGAACTTCCGATAAGTGACAACCTGAAATGTCAAGTCTAAGTGGTCCCTTCCCACAGGTAGCGCCATAAGGGATCCACATTTCAGATAATTTGGATATGGTGACCAGACCCTTTTGTGAGTGCTCACTGAAACTTATAGTTACAACTTTTAGCAGTTTATTCAAGGGAAAAAAAATAGGATCTAAGGTGATTTTTCTGTATTTCAGGAAACACTTTCCAGTAGCTCCACCTTTAGGACATCTGTTGAAACAATTTTCACTGTGATTATTAGGGCTAATTTTCTTTCAAGTGCTTGCCCATGGGAGATAAAAAAATTATTGAAAACTGTAAACAAGCATTTCTAAAAGTGGTCACTTACCAGAGGTTGTCCCTTATGGAAGGTTTCATTTAGAGCGATTTGACTTAGAAACTTTTGGTACTCATAAAAAGTGGTCGCCAACAAGAGATGGTTACGTATGAGAGGTGATCACAAGGGGAGGTTTGACAGTACCTCATTTCCAATTATAATGACAAACCTTAAATCTAAAAATTATTTTTGATAATTGTATGACTATTTGTTCCAAAAGTGGCAGTTTCTATCACATTCGTTATATGAAGGATGACAAGCAATTCTGAATAACCCTGCCAGCACCTGATTTTTCCTACCTCTGGTTCTCTGTTGATTTGTATGAGAGTAACCAGCTGGTTGCAGGTAAAACTAAGAGTGCTGGTAATTCTTGAAAAATATAAGCTCCCACCATTTTCCTTAGCTTCAATTGCAACAGTGAAACTTCTGTTCACATTGAAAGTCCTGGTTGTTTTCAATAAACCTGTAGCCCAAATAACTATTGTTCTATATATACTTCTTTTCAGCTGAAGAATGGCCCATGTGATGAGCCAATTTAAGTTATATGTAGTGAGAACACTCTACTGAGAATACTCTACTGTTTGTATTTACTTGCTTTCTCAATCCTTTTCACAATCCACCTAGACCAGAAGAATCAGATATGCATAATACCTTGAGTCTGCTTGATTGATCGTCTTTTCTCCTCTGATTGATTACTTTTCTCCCTACTTTGCCTTGAAGCTCGACTGCGGACAACACTATCTGCAACTTTCACACCACCCAGCACCTCGAACGCAGTTCTAAGAACATGGCTTCCGTAAGTATGGCTAACAAGTTCTCCTAAATTCTCTTGAAAACAATGACAGAGACTCAGGAAAAGTTCCTCCGCACTTTTCAAATTGTCGAAATTTTGTTCAACTTCTCTTATTTTACTGCGCTCTGACCTTACTGCCTTCGGAATAACACAGATGAGCGATTGGAGCACGTGGCTACCGAATTTGTCCATGGCGATTTTGCAGAAATGATCTTCAATATTCTGTATTACGCAGCGAATTTGGATATCGTTAAAATAAACAATCAGCTTCTCCATAGTTCTGCTGACCATCATATCACAGGAAAGTTTAACTTCGTTGTTTTCTACTTGTGTAAACACGTTCTCCACAAACAATTTTCGACTCTCATCGTCATCAAAATCATCTTCATTTATCATATCTTCCACCCTTTTGAAATAACTGGAAGTTTGCTCATCGAGAGCAGATGTTACTTTGGCCCGTTTCTTGCTATTTTTCTTTTTCATCGCGATCTCTTTTTCTCGGTTAATCCGGATTTCAAAGTTCCGAACACAACTCGTCCGCCATATTGAAACCATGTGAAGACTTAGAAGCCTAGCCTTTTCACTATTTCTTACCCAGTCCACTAAACGGATTGTCTTTGCTTGATCATAACAACATTGATCGTTCCCGCGTGGGTTCATGTGAGTGCAGCTGCCAAGTCCAGACCAGTTTGGAGAGTCAGATTTTGAATTTACGGCCATGGACAAAGCGAGATGATTGTTTGGATTTTTCTGTCCCTGTTAATCACCACAGAAGTGTCTACGACTACTGGAAAGTGTTTTAAAAGCGAATTTGTGGGTACGTTCTTCCATGCGCATATTGATCGAATGTAAACTTCCCTGAACATCAAACTTAAATTTATTCGCTTTTTTTCTTTTTTGACAGAAAGCCTTTTGATTTCCTGTGCATTTGTGTATAATTCGTTAAGTGTGATTTTAGTGACTTCAATTTAAATGCAAATTTTTGTCTGGTCATGGAGATTAGACACAATATAGGCGGGCTTCAACTTAATTGAGTACAATTATGTGCCCAAGCATGATTTCCTATTCTAAAGTATTAATTAGTTGAACTGTAGTCCTTTTTTTTTCAACAGAATGTTTGTGCAATATGTGCTCATATTTAATGACATGGAAATGCTGTGGCCGGGTATTCTGAAGTTTAGCCGCTCTTAATTTCAACGTGAATATTTAAATTTCCTCACGACGTTTCAATTTTTTTAAATTTTTGTCCAATTAACAAATGGAAGGAATTTTTATTCCACATGAAAGAAACGGCATCAGAATCGCTAATGAATCACAACCTGCACACAAGTGGTTTTGATTTTATCAATCGCTTTTGGTGTCAATTAAATTCTAACAGAAAAGCCATAAAATATTTGGAGATATGATACATTAATATTTTATAATGCATCAAATGTTTTTGGTCATGCACAATTATTCTACACATGTAGTCTAAACAGGTCACGAAACCAAACAAACGGCAAGAGTACCATATAACCCCAGACATTAATTATGGATTCAGACTAGTAGACTTTGTTTTTAAAGTTTTGTTGTGAAAGACAAAGAAGTGGAATGCATAATTAATGTTGGGGTTATAATTATGGTACTCTATCCCAACTCAAGAAATACAGTGTGCATTTCATTGTTGTTAAGGAAGAGACAAACTTGTTCATTAATTGATACCCAAAGCAAGAAACACTTTTGATGTTAAGTTGCTTTTAATCATTTTCTCTTGCACACCGCAGAAAATATTTGAGGAATCATAAACTATATAAATGTCATTTGCCCCAACTGCTGTATATGCTCCAACTGTTTGGCATTCTTTTCCTGTGAGCTCAGAGCTTTCCTCAGAAAAATGTTGTTAAATGAAGGCTCTTTTCTGTAATAATTTATTATGAACAACATATTATACTAGAGTTATAAAAAATTAGCTTAGGAACTAGCATCTTATTTCTCCTTACAATATCACCTCTGAATCAAACATTAAGGTTAGGAGAATAAAGGAAATGATCATCAACTAAAGAAACTGTTGATTTTAAAACAGATTCTCCTGGTCAGCACTTTAGGAAATGTCTAGAGACCAACATGGAGAATATCCACACTGATGTTAGGGTTTAAAAGATTGATTTATTGATTATGTTTGAACTGTATATAAACATATACTTTTACTGTGAGAAATTAGATTTTAGAGATTATTGCTCTCCTTCCCTTAACAATATTTTGAATATCTATTTGATATCTTCCCAGGAAACACAGTGAAACGGCATTTCAAGCTGTATGGTGATGGTATAACATTACTTCCTTTAAAAGTGAGCTACAGCAAAAGAGCATCTCATCAGGTTTCCTCTCATGTGCTGCGCATTTTATTGGAGGAAGTATTAGGATATGAAGATGTTGTTTTAGTCCTTGATGATTCTGGATTATCAGTTCACAAGGCTCTTCAAAAGATATCAGGATGTTCAAATCACAGGTATTCTGTATATACTGTTTACAGCCTGTCCGCTGCTGTTTGTGGCTGTGATGCTATGATTTGGGAAAACTAATAATCTAGCACCAAGAAGTGTAAAAGACTTACAAACTGTATTTATTCACAATTTAATGCTGCAGCATTTATTGAATTTTTAGTTTTCCAGTGTGGTATTTATCAAGAAAGGCATTTATTTTAGTTTCTTTTAAGTGGTGTTATTTCAAAATTATCTTTTTAAACTTTTGACAGCAGTCATATTATGAATTATTAGATTTTTTTCTTCTTACAATCCTTGATTAAACTGCTGCATTCTTCTAAAATGGATGCAGCATTTATTCAAGAGCAGCATTTAAATCCAATTATTTAATAGATGTAGCCAGGAGTATGTAAATGGGTGTTGGCAAACATTCAGGGGAGTTCGATACAACACTGGGGGGTAAGCTGTGATGGCCTGGTATCCAGGGAGAGTAGCACTTCTAGTTGCTTTGGCTGTGGAGACCATGATAACCTCAGGTGCCTTGTAGGCCACTTGGTTTGATTGCAGACATTACGGAATCATGCCCATTGAAAAACATCGCACGAGAAAATGCAAATAAGCTAGAAAAGAGAAAGAGAGCATGCATAACTTCATGTAGGCCTGTCAATCTGACTGTCAATCATGTAATCCCCCGTGTACGCCGTGTTGGCAAGTATTGTTTCTTGCTCAGACAACTGAAACATAGCGCTATTCGTTGAAGAAGAAAAGCCGTAATCTTGATTAGGCAATATTGTTTAAAAATTGATCACATGTAAAATTATTTATTCAAGCCGAGCGATTTTTTCATAAAACTTTACCAAAATCTCGGACCATAGACTTACTGATGACGTACTCTCTGGTTATCTCGGAATTGTTTTTGACGGCAATACTGCACTGAAACACTTTTCTGTTTTGAAACTTCTGCATTCATTTCAGTTTTTTCAAGAATGGAATTCTCTGAATATGGTCTCGGCTTATAGCGAGTATTTTCAGGTCACATGTTTTAAGAACCCAATTAAAACAGACCGAAGTTTAGGGTCTCGGCTTATAGCTGAGTTCGGCTCATAGACGAATAAATACGTTAAGATGGAAATGCGGCAGATTTACGAGGTTCGACCATCAATTTCGCCATGAAAGCAAAATAACGTTACAGAAATATTCCTTTTTAGCCCGTTATTGCTGTCAGTTTCACTTAACATGTCTGGAAAGTATACGTTGTAACTTCCTACTCCACGTATGTATACACTCAGTTCCAACTCAGCTTTACCATAACAACACTTCGTTTCATCACCTTCAAACAACACTAATTGCTTCAATTGTATCTCCATTGTCTCTGAACGGTCGCAATGCGAAATTTTACAACTCCCATTTGGGAATTCGTCAATTCAGATCTTAAGAGATGGAAGCTGGTGGTGAGCTTTTGCAACCTCATTCCGCCTGCAAAGCATCATGGATACCCCACTTTTCCCAGGCGATGCTTTTCAATGGGCGCGATTCCGTAATGCTTACTTCTCCACTACCAGTAATTCCCTGAAGCCAATCATTCTGGAGCCTAATACTTTTTCTGCTTTTACTCCACCTTTCAAGCTGTGACTCTAGTGCTGTTCCAGATGTTATGATTAACACAGAAGTCTGGGTAGCACCAGGTTATCAATACAACAAGTGGTTTGACAAAAAATTTGTGAATGAAGCTGGAAACATTTCTACACACGGCAGGTACATGTACATGTGAAAATCAAACTTGTGCGTAAAATTTTTATGCCAACTGAGAAAAATATTGCACTCAAGCAAGCTCGACGTGACATGTCACACGGCTTTCTCTTCTCGTGTTTTTGTCTTTACAGATTTGGATGGTATCTTCCAACTTCTTTTGTTAAAAGGTTATGGAATGACAGCAGGATCATAGCAGACAGCTGGAGAGCTTTACAACTACAGTCAGTGTTAGGACAATTGTTACAAAATGCATCACTGCTTAATTCTTACGTTAACGTCTCAGAATACAAGAAATCTTGTGAAGAAATTGCCAGTTGTAGTAATGGCTGGTTTCACAGCACAAAGTGCAGGGATGGTGATAATACAATGCATTGTGCAGTTCTTTTGGCTGATTTTCCAGGTGTGTTTGTAAGTTGGTATAGAGATATAGTGATGTAATGGTGAGTATGGTGGGTTCTAGCTCAAGAGATCCAGGGTTTTAGACATGGTTAGGCCATTGTGTGGTGTTTTGGGCAGCCAACATTTTAATCCCAGTGCCTCATTCCATCCAGGAATATAAATGGGTACCTGTGAATTATCAAGAAAGCTTTATTAATGCTGGGGGATAACCTTGTGATGGACTAACATCCCATCGGGGGCGGGGGGGGGGTAGTAATAACACTCCTAGTCATTTTACACTAAGGAAACCACAATAAGCTACATGTGCTGTGTGGGCCACTAGGCTGGAGTACAGACTTTACCTTTTATAGAGAAACTCACCAAAATACAATAATTTGCACAAGTTGGCAGACCCTTGAAACTTGTGTAAATAAGAATCTCTTGTGTAAATAAGAATCTCTCCTGAAAGTTCTTATAATTGTTTCTAAATAATGTTTTTTTGTTTGTTTTTTTGTTTTAAGAACACTATGGATCATTGCTCCAGCAGCAGATTAAAAGTCTTGGTCTGAATATATCAGTGGTGTGGTTGGCCTCAGAGTTACAACAATTTATCAATGGCAGGGTTGATCAGCCATTCCTTCTCTTAAACTGGGAACCAAATACTAAACCAACCACAGAGAAGTTGACAAGAATAAGTCTTCCGCCTTGCAGGTGAGTTGGGAATAATAATCAAGTTTTAATTGTGTTGTTGCCTCTGTCAGAAAATATTCATGTCCCCTTTATAAAATAATTAAGGGTTTTATTTTGCCCTAGATCCCCACATGTTTCAAAACAATAGGCTGATTTCATTAAGGGAGATCAATTTATGGAAATTTTTAATTAAAAAAACCTTGTTGTGATTTTTCAGTGCCAGCGTGTCTTTTATTCATGCCTTGTCATCTCACCAAGATTACTACAACTGTGATTTTCCACCGAGTCATCTGTATAAGTTTGCTTGGGGAGCAGTTAAAGATAATGCCCCTGATGTATACTACCTGCTGTCAAACTTGTACTTTGATAAGGAGACACTTGGTGGCCTGTTACATAAATATGCCTATGGAAGAGGAAATGTTACAAGTGAGGAAATCGCTTGTGATTGGTTAAAGCAGAATAGGGATACATGGATGCAATGGTTGCCATCTGGGAGTTTTAATAAAACACCAGTTTATCTAGGAGGGATGTTCCCTTTATCAGTCAGCAAGGATGCTGTGTGGAGCAGGCCTGGAATTTTGCAGGGTATGAGAAATAGGCCATTTTACAGTTTTGTACTTAGTTGCCAAGCCTTTGATTCAGAGTGAGGCTGAAGGTGACCTTGTTGTTATAGAGACCTGTATCTACTTAGCATGATAACAATTGAAAGTGATTTACGTTTGAAAGGCAGCAAGGTTTGTATCACAACAAGGTCAACCTTAGCCTCACTCCCATTCACAGGCTTGGCAACCAAGCACAACTGTAAAATGGACTATTGATTTAGACTCCAAAGAGGTCTTAAATACTTGAAGGGCTAGTTACAGTTGTGATGTATTATGTTGTCAATCAATGGCATGTATGGTTCAGTTGTTTGTTTTCAAACCCAATGTACTTCAATATAACCAAATTATTTGCAACGAGTAGAGTTAGTTGACAATACAAATTAAATTGAACCACAACACAAACTGGTTGTTTGTACTTTCATGACACAATGTACAGCAGCTTTGAATATTGAGTGACTGCTATTTTTAATCTGTGCAAACTTAACATTCGAATTTTACAAGGTTACAGCCCTCTTGGTCAATCAGATGCCAAACAAGAATAATCTAGACTTGGTCAGTTCTCTTTTCGTTCATTTCAGGGAGTTTGCTTGTTTTTTCTCTCAGACTGAGTTTTAATTAGCTCCTCAGGATGTTTTGCCTTTGTTATTATTGGCTGTTGACAGTGATAACTTTGGTTTTGGTGTTAGGACACCAAATGAAATGCTCTCTAGTCTTATAGCAGTAGTTAGCTATTAAGAGTTTATGTTTTGCTTTGTTGAAGGTGCTCTGATGGCTTTGGAAAGCATCAACAGTGATTTTAAAATTCTCAATAATTACAGCTTGGAGCTCATTGTAGAAGACACGCACTGTAAAACATCTCTCATTCTCAATGCATTCATTGAGTTTATGTCACGATCTCACAATAAATCGATAGTGGGAATCATCGGCCCAGCCTGTTCAGTTCAAACTGAGATCATTGCTGAAGTTGCACCACTGTACAACACAATGGTCATGGGTTATAGTGTGGAAGGTGTTGCACTGGCAGATCGGGAAAAGTACCCATTGTTCTTCAGAACTTCTCCTAGCTATGCAGAATTCAAGTTTGCCTACACTGCCATCTTTGGGTTTTTTCAATGGAAGCAATATGCCTCATTAACTGATACAAACTATGTATCACGCACTGTGACAGCAACCCACGAGTATTTGGAGAGCCAAGGAATTAATTTGGTGTATGCAAGACAGATCACTAATCAGGACAGTGTAGATATTAAGACTTATGTGAGGTCCTTAAAGGAGAGCTCAGCCAGGATTGTCATTGCAACTTTGTTTGAGAGTCTGGCAAGAGCTGTTGTGTGTGAGGCTCATATTCAAGTGAGTGATTGTTTTGGCCTTTGCATAAAAATTGTTTTTTGGGTCACAGTGTGTGCATATAGTGATGGGTAACTGTGAACATTAGAGATGTTCATGAGCATTAGCTTCTGATGAGGGGATAATGTTCAAAACCTCATGTTAAGAAACTCTTTATGTTGGCCAATATAAATTCATTATTAACTCAGTTCATAAAACCAAACTGTCTTGTAATACCCCTCCCCCCCCATGGATGCACTAAGCACTACAGTTCCATTAGAAATTCACCACCTTAAGAAAACTCTAATCAGGCATAAGAAAACTAAATCAAAGTCCTATATCCACCCTTTAAACAACTGAGGCCTAATGCCAGTTTCAAAGGAATAGACTTTATCGAGGGAAGATCCCAGTGGAATTGTAGGGTAAACATTTTTGGAGCATATTTGTGCCTATTTGATATGTAATCCATATGGCTTCTCGCAGGGCTTGACTCCTCAGAATGGCTATGTTTGGTTTCTGCCAGCGTGGCTAGCACATGATTGGTGGGATCTGGACCATTCTCGTCAGGATAGTGACACCTCTGTAGGGATCCTCAGTGTACCTTGCTCCACAGCTGACTTGAAGGAGTTTGTCAATGGAGGGTATTTTACCCTTTCGAATGCATTTTATGGTGAGGAATTGGACACGATACTAAGTGGAGGGACTGTGAGCCAGTGGAGACAGGAGTATGAGAGAAGGGTTAGGAAACAGGTAATCTCAGCGGTGCTCACATGTAGTTTCACTAACGTAATCACTCAGTCACTCACACTTCTCACTTAGACTCGCTTTCCTATGCACTTTCTCTTGTTCCCTCCCTCCCTCACTTACTTCTCATCAAGGATGCTAGCATGTCAGGCAGCCAGTAGTCAGTGTGCTGGACTCTGGGTCGGTTCGCCTGGGTTCAAGTCCTGGCTGGTGCCTGACTTTGTGTGCATAAGCACGACGCTTCACTCACATTGCTTGGTCTTCTTGGATAAGACATTAAGCTGTAGCTAGGTCCCGTCTCCTTCGGGGTTAGGGGTAGGAGACATAAATTTCCCATGCACGAGATTACTGTGTAGTGGATGTCCTCCCTGGGGTGGGATGGGTGGGAAGGTGAGATTGCCACATGGACTGAGGCGGCTGCCAGAGGCGCCTGATAAAAATGCTGACGTCCAATCTCAACCTTATGATACTGTTAAGCACGACTGAAAATATCCGCATAGAAGTCTGCTCTATATAAATGTAAAAATATAATGTAATGTAAAGCAGCACTAATACTGTCAATCTCTAGTCATCTTATACCAACTTACTTTTGGTTGCATTACAAGCATAACTAATATTAACCGTGTCATCTAAATCGCATCCACAACTTACAACTTTGCTTAGGATGCACAGGTTTAAACATGTCCTAGTATTTCATTTTAAAATTAGCCTCATTATTTAACATCAGAGAATATGAGTGACAAAAATTGTATGCAAATCAACAAATGCAACTGCACAGTGCATTGTATGCAGAACTTTGTAACTGTAACTGCTTGAATTAAACTATCCCTCTATCAGTTTTGGGTATACAGCTGTGTCCTGGTAACTTGCTTTTGTGTCTCAAAGGAGCAGTTATGATATTTTACAATTTTACAGTAAATTGATGTGTCATTAGTGAAGTGGATGTTAGCATCACAGGTAATACAAGTTTACATGAGCTGCTAAACTAGTTTGTAGTGTATTGACTGCACGCTAAAATGTTATTTCACGAAACGGTTTATTTGTTGAACTCCAAGTTTTTTACAACCGTACCGAGCTCTGCTCTCTCTCTCTTACTAACCGGGAAACTACATGATTGACAGGTAACAAAACGACAATCGGTAGTGGTCACTACATAGTTCTTATGCGATTTTTTTTTCAGGGTCACACTCCCTCAGGATATGCAAGTTTTGCTCACGATGCTGTGTGGGCCTATGCACTGGCTCTTGACAAACTTTTTAAGTCACATCCAGCAGGACTGGATACAATAAGAACAAATCACACAACGCAGTAAGTACAACCTTTAAAAGACGAGTAGAAGAATGATTGATTATTTACTATTTAATCAATACCCACGATCTTTGTGTTGAGTTGTATGGAATAGGAAAAAGAAGATCGAGATCGCTATGAAAAAAGTAGAGGTAGATTCAATCTGTCACAGTCAAGCTGCAACTTGACCTTCCATTCTAGGAGAACTTAGGCAAAAGAGTTGTTAGTGTTTCTTATACGTATGATGCACGATCCTCGCAGTGGATAGCGCTATTTATGCAATAGCGAAAATCAGACCTGAAAAAAATCAGGCCTGTACGGGACTCGAACCACTGACCTCTGCGATACTTAAATGCCTCTATTAGCCCCAGTCCCCCTACAAATGAAATACCAAATGGGCAAAAGAGTTGTTAGTGTTTCTTATGTCATTAAGCCTCCTACGAACTACGGTTAATGAGACTAAGTATCTCAGTTATAAAAAGTGCTACTCATTGAAAATATTTTTGAATGGAGTCATGGTCATCACTGGAATACAGTCAGTCACACTGAATCTTTTGCCAACTAAACCTTTTTTTGGGAATGATTTTGAGTAATTTTTGCCACCACATGTTGGGACTTTTTTTTTTCATTTCTGGATTTGACAGCATCTGTAAGTAATGAATAGTTCAATCAATTTTTACCAAGGAAAAAAGGCTGATAGTTTCGAAAGAAACTGTTTGGGGCTGCGTCGGTGGGAGTAACGAAATAATTTGGATATATCAACAAAGTTGAAATGGTAAATTGGCCACCGTAAGGATTACAAAAGCTGACGTTTCGAGCGTTAGCCCTTCGTCGGAGCGAAGGGCTAACGCTCGAAACGTCAGCTTTTGTAATCGTTACGGTGGCCAATTTACCATTTCAACTTTGTTGATTTACCAAGGAAACATACACTTCCTTTTTTGTGCAATTGTACTGTTTACTGAAAGCTCTGGCACACTATTTTCTCTTTCACAGGTTGTTGAAGAACTTCCTCCAGCAGACCAACTTTAGTGGTGTATCTGGGCGTGTCATTTTCAGAGCTGGCGAGCGGTACCTTCCCATAGTTGAAATGGCGCAACATTTTCCTACCAAGGTCGTAAAAGTCGGGCGTGTGCTCCCTAACATGTACAGAGCCTGTGGCAGTAGCAACCGCTGTCTTGAAATGAATGAGACCAGTATCCTGTGGCCAGGGGGGAGGAGACCTACAGACGGCAGATCAAGTGAGTGTAACCCTTAATTTGCCGAGAACTAAAGTAAAATTTTGTCTTTAGTTGATACACATTTCTTGATTTTCGTTAAAAAAAAATTTGATGTTTTATGAGGTCAATATACGTTTTATCAACCTTAAGCTCGCGAGTTTTCCTGTCTTCATCGGTCCTATGTTGGATGATATTTTAATGTTTTACGGAGAAAAATCAGGCATATTTTATCCTTATTTCTCTTGTCAGAGCCGTCCTCCCATGAAGTTTGCTCGGTGGAGTCTTTCAGAGCCGCACTTGGTCTTTCGTGCACGGGAGCCATAGCTGTCATAAACACTATAAGTAAATTGAAATTTTGGTACAAAACACTTTCAGCTGGGGAAATTGTATCCTATTTTCCGAAATAACGTGCGTATTTATGGCACTTTGTCAGGTGATATAATGTGTTTAATTTTTGCAGCACCCCGGTCGGGCGTCTTTTCTTGGTAGTTTGTGATTGGTTGCAAAATTGGAAAATCGTGTTTTTGCACGCTTGCTACTGATTGGTTTCTGTAATTTCCTAGATGCGCTGAGTGAGATTTAAGAGTGAATTTTGTCAAAGAAAAACCAAAGTATTATATTGGCCAGAGGAGCCGATGAGAGTGTAAGATATTGACGCGTAAACACGCGAGTGATGATTGGTTGGTGGGGTAGCGCAAACTAGATTCCTATACTAAGTCTAGAGCGTAACAAAGGGAAAAAACAAATGAAATCCTAGATGTCTAACGAGTAAAAGTGAATGCAATGTTCGTTTTGCACATATAGTTTGTCTTTCTTTCCACAGCTATCGGCTTGTTCCTCATCATTGTTATAACTCTGATATGGATCTGCATCAAGAAGAGGTAGGAGTGATTGCTTGTTATCAAGGTTACCGACATGAAGCAGTTTGAAAGCATCAAAAATCAAACCTATACTTTAGGCTGCTTCTTCGTCGCAATGTGGTTAGTCAAATTTACCACCTGGAAGAAAGAAACCCATCGGATTTATATCTTTTTTTTATTTGGAGTTTAGCAAGAAGTGGCCTTCCCTTTAGGCGCGAAACAATAAATAAAAGAGAAATTGTATGAGAAATAAGATTGAAATACCTTGAATAATAGTTATTAAGATTTATCAGGACCTATTAGGTCTCCCTTACATGGCGATGAAAATAGTATGGGAATCAATAGTTGAAATATCAAATGAGGCAATGACATATTTAACCCAACTTGATAACAAGAGAAGACAAAACAGTTGAAGTGATAACATCATTGGATCTAAAAATATATTCATTAAATCATAAGAAATAATTTGTATCATCTATTCTCTACGAATTTGCAAATGTGAATGTATTCCATTGACCAAGTCTCACTGATGACAAAATAGGAGTGGGCTAAACTCTTCTTTAAGCGTTCAACTAATTTGATTCAAAAGGGCCATTGTCTTTTGAGCGAAGACTGAGGTGAGACTTGTCTTTGATTGCATTTTGGAACATCGGTATGACCATCAAATGCGTACTTAGACTGAAAAAAGCAACAGTGCATCGGCTAGGCTGATATGCAACGTGCCTCGCTTTGGTCATAGAACTTCCCGTTTTAGTCCTTGTCTGGCTTCCCGTGAAATTCGCATGAAATTTAATTACCTCTTGACGGCCCAGAACCCAAGTACTTAAGTGACTAAACAAACACAGACAAAAGTACAAGCTTTTTTTCTTTTCGTAATCATGAAAGGTTAGTCAGTTGTTAAAACGGCTTTATTTGTTTGTGGAGATTTTTCAACTCATTTTTGAGGAAGAAATCGGTTTGAACGTGGATGAGCACGCGCCGACTAGTGCACAAAAGCGCGTGCACAGATGACGAAATAAGTGAAGCGGAAGCTCGTCATAAACAAATTCAAAGACGAATTCATTTGTTAAGAGTCCGAGACAGATGGATTCAACGACGAAACGCGGAACGTTTTTGCTTCGTGAATTGTTTATTATTGTTTGCTGTTGTTCTTTTTGGAACTTGTACGTTTTAACAAGACCAATTTTTCTTCTGGTGTGCCTCTTTTTTTCCTTTTTTTACAAGCTGTGGAAAAAATTGAATTATTCATTCGGCAATCGCTTTAATGAAGAAGAAGAAGAAGAAGGAGAAACTGCACTTGCGCAGAACCCTCCGAGTTTGGCTGCTTGTGCCATTGAGGATCAGCGTATTGAAACTCAAAACAAGAACAATACTCGGGAGCCGAGCGAGGGAAAGCGAAACTCATCAAGAAATTTTGAGAGTTACAAAGCGGGAACCAGAATACACCGGCCATTGGAAGAGCGACGGACGTATGGCGATACCAGATTTCGTCAATCGGAGAAGGTCACATATCACAATCAAGTAAGAACACGCCATTTTAAGAACTCGATAGCTGTTCCGCGGTTGCCGCTGATGAGAGAACGACTGTTTGACTGCCGGGGTCTTAGGAACACAACTCAAACAAGAATCAATAAAATGACATACATGGGAAATAACAGTGCGTTCTTGTGCAGCGATCGGATGGAGGGAAAAAATCGAATGCAGGCACCCCCAGTCGAAGAGCTTTACTCAGGAGATGTCAGGTGGAAACCCAAAAATCATTGCCCAGCAAGGGGACAGCGGTGGCCATACGTAAGACCAGGAACTGTTGAAAGCTGGCGTATGGAAAAAACGCCTCGAAGGGTGCTAATAAAACCAAGACCCGCTGGAACCTGGCATTTAAAGGAACGACCACAAAGGAATGCTGGAAACAACTACGCATTTTCATGCAAGGACCGAAACAAGGCCAGGCTTGAAATGCGGCCACCACCGCCAGTCGAACTTTTACATGAGGAGAATGTCTCTACTGTGGGTTTAAAAAAGGCACCATTAGGTGAAAATAACATTCCAAGCTGTTTCAAGAGGAGTGGTTTAGTTTCGGAAGACTTCATGAGAAGAAGCAAGATGCTTTTCCGGCCGTTCATTTGTGTGGTTAATGGTATGAAAAATGTTCTGACACCCCTGCTTCGGAAAATCTACTCTTACGACCACAGAGTAGTTAGCGAGTATTGCGGAATAAGCAGGGTGAAGAAGCCTTGTCCAGCGGAATTCAGTGAGGATGACGAAGGCGCACTTGACAGCGAGATCGGAAAGAACTTGAACCAAAGGCAAGGACGGGGATGGAAATTGTCAAACCTTGGTGGCTTACCATATTTGATTCGTGAACTTTTTCATCTTGTTGTAAGCAGTACTTGCCGTTCTCTTTCGGGTCTTTTCGTTTGGGTCAAGAAACTGCACGCAATTGGATGTGCCTTCTGTTATGCTAGTAAGAAACAAAACAAGGACCTTAACAAAAGTGTCGACCGTTTATATCAAGTAGAGAAAAATCGTCAATCTGAAACATCCCGTCAGAGAAATGAAGAGCCTTCCGAATCTCGCGGTACAGTCAAGTCAGGACAAGTTCATATGTCGAACGCCTCTCGTGGTTCGTTGAGATCTTCGAATGAACATGTGAATGTCCAGGCTTCCTCAAACAGTGTCATATACTCTGACTCACAGGTGCACAGTCCTTCGCGGGATTCCAAGATTCAGGATGAAACTTTAAACGTCTCACCGCCTGTTCGACAACGTAATAAGACTTGTTATGAGTTATCCACTGATAGCAAGGTGAAAGGAGAATTAATCCATTCAGAAAGTGAAAGAGAGACTGATACGAAGACAAAGAGGGAAGAAACCCAGTCTACTTTGCCTGCCGATAAAAATTTTGCTACATCAAGACCAAGCGAAGAAAAGGAGGTAAAAACTACCGTATCCTTGTCAGCTCTAAAAGGTTTAATACGAGACCTAGAACAGAAAATATCAGAATCTACGGAGAAACGTCAATTGTCTGACAGTGTCACCGAAGATAGGAGAACCAAACAGGAGGTAACAAAGAAAGATGTTTGTACACAAACTGAATCAATGACAGACAAGCCAGGAAAGAATGTGGTGCCACTTTCAATCGAAGCAGTCCCGGCGTATGTTAAAACGGAACCTGAAGAGCAGAGATTACAAGGAGAAGCAAGTGAACGCCAAGTGTTATCTGCTAGTGGCACGGGAGTCGAAATTACCCAGTGCGATGCAAAATCGTTAGAGGCTGATGAGAACACTAATGTCAAACCACAAGTCTCTAAAGGAAAGCGGACTAAGAGTGGTGAAAAATATAAAGGGCTGAGGTCTCTGAGGAATAAGTACGTCAAGACCTCTTTTGTCTGCTCGGACAGTTCCTCGGCAGAGTCGATAAACGTGAAAAGAAAAGATAGAGGAGACGTGCCTAGCAGCTTGGAGCTTCATACTACGGAGTCTCCACCAGAAAAGATTTTGATACCGCTCTCCATTGAGGCAGTCCATTCTAACATTGAAAAAGAAAAAGAAAATGAAAGGAAAAGATTACAAGGAGGAGAAGGTGAATGTCAGGTGGTGTCTGCTAGTGGTTCGAAAGTCGGAATTACTAATTGCAATGCAAAGTCGTCAATGACTGAAGAGGACAGTGACGACGAACCACAAATGTCCAAAGGAAAGCGGACTAAGAGATGTGACAAATATACACAGCTGAGGTCAAAGGACTTAACAACCTCTTTTGTCTGCTCGGACAGTTCCTCCGCAAAGTCGAAATGCGCGAAAAGAAAAACTAAGGG